CCTATTTCTGTGTGTTCTCAGCACGAACACAGTATCTGGCTGTGAACTTTTTGGCAGGTTTGATATGCCTAGTTTGTTTAAGGAAGGTGACATAATGATCGGAGGAATCTTCCCAATTTTGATCAAACAGATGCTCAGCACCTCTACATTTGATAAGGAGCCGCCTAAAGTGCAGTGTGAAGGGTATGATTTAACACAAATGGCTTTTTCATATGTCATGCATGTATGTTTATTTGTGTTTTAATTCTTGACATTGTACTTTATATACATGTGAAGCAGTAGCTGGGTTACTTTGATCAATCACTAAAATGTCTTTAGGTTTGACCTGCGAATTTATCGATGGACACAGGCAATGTTATTTGCCATTGAAGAAATCAACAACGATCCTGCTCTGCTTCCAAACATATCTCTTGGCTATAGGATACTTAACTCTTGCGCATCTCCTACAAATGCTTTACGTGCTGCTCTAACACTGGCTAGTGGAGCAGAGGAGGCAAGTGTGACTTCTCATTGCCCTCCAGCTATATCTGCCCTCATTGCAGAGTCTGGATCATCTCAGTCAATAGCTGTGGCTGGAATTCTTGGACCATTTCATATGCCAATAGTAAGAGATAAGGTTGTATGTTTTATGATGCTAAGTGATATTGGATTTTATGGCATTGTATGATGTAGCATTACATGTACACTCTTTCTGTGTTCTATTCTCTTTTATAGATCAGCTACTTCTCAACGTGTGCTTGTCTGAGTGACAGAACTAAATATCCTACATTTTTTAGAACAATCCCCAGCGACTATTTCCAGGCAAAAGCTTTGGCTGCACTGGTCAAACATTTTGGATGGCAGTGGATTGGAGCCATACAGTCAGACAATGATTATGGACGTAATGGAATTCTTGCTTTTAAGGAGGAGGTTGAAAAGTTTGGGGTTTGTGTCGCTTTTGTTGCATCAGTTCTACGCACGTACACAAGAGATGAATTTCTAGAAGTTGTGGAAATAATTAAACAGTCGTCTGTCAAAGTAATTTTAGCTTTTTCTGTTGATGGTGACTTTTATCCTTTGATGCAAGAGATTGTGAACCAGAACATTACAGGAATTCAGTGGATTTCTTGTGTGGCTTGGATAACATCATCTCGACCCTCCACGCCTGAAATGTATAGATCCTTTGGCGGAACAGTGGGATTTGTAATGCAGAAGATGGCTATTCCTAAGCTTAATCACTTTCTTACAAGTATTAGTCCTTATACAGATCCCAATGCACCTTTCGTGA